AGAAGCTTCCAGGTCTTAATTGATCCTGACCCCTTGGAACTTGTACTGCCTCTTCCTGGATTCTTGCAGTATTTTTGCTTTGATACAGGAGCTCTGGATTTTGTCTATGATTTTCCCACCTGTGATTTTTTAGAGCTCCTTTCAGTAGATGATCTCTGGATTTTTTTCTATTTTTACTTTTCTCTCTGGTTCTAATAGATCTGGGCAGCTTTCATTTAAACAAAAAACATAGTTTTTAGAGAATCCAATGATCCTGTTTTCCAGGTCAGTTGTTTTTGATATCAGATACCTCACATTTTCTTCTATTTTTTCCCAGTCTTTTGATTTTGTTCTAATATTTCTTACTGTGATTTCTGTTTGGTCTGTTCTAGTTTTCAGAGATTCTATTTCCTAGGAAAGGTTTTGCCCTTTTCTCTTCTGAGCTATTTATTCTCCTTCCAATTTTTTCCTCTGGAACTTCATTTTCTTTAAAGTCTTTTGCTTCATTTCTTCTAGGTACTCATGTAATCCTTCTGGAAAATCCTTTTTTTTTTCCCTTTGAGTACTTGCTTGCAATTGTTATGGAGTTATATTTGCAACAATTTTTTATTTTTGTGAATATTTTTAAAATTTACTTTTCTTTCTATCTTTAATTCCTTTTTTTCTTTTTTTTTTGGAGGAGGGCACTTGGGGTTAAGTGACTTGCCCAGGGTCACACAGCTAGTAAGCATCAAGTGTTTGGTCTGAGGCCGGATTTGAACGTAGGTCCTCCTGACTTTAGGGGCCTGTTCTCTGCCCTGTGTCTTTAATTCCTGAACTGGGGTTTTGTGCCAGATCCTGCTTCCTACTCCACTTTTAGATGAGGTAGTGGGCCTTGCTTGGCATTACCCTAAATACTATGGCTTCCTGTGCTAAATTCTACTTCCCAGGGTTAGGCTCTTGGGATCTCTGAGGTTCAAAGTATTCAGGGGCCCTATTTGTCCTCTTTTGATGGAGTGTTAGGGACGTCATAGCCCCTGGACCTGGGCTTTCCTGATCTGGGCACTTTAGCACTATGCTTCCTGCTTCTACTCCCCTGAGCTTCCCAGGTCTCCACTCTGAGGCTTTCCCAGAGGAGCCCTCTGCTCTTGATACCCCAGGACACAGAACCTTGAAGGCTATATATAGGTGGAATACCTACTCCAATACTTTCTTAATCTTTCACATAGGCTTAAAAAAAAGTATTTCACTCCAATTGTTTGTTGCCTCAACAAACAATTTTTTTATAAGCCTTTTCCATTCCACTGGCATCATAGCAAAAAGGCATCTGATAGTTGGGAATATAAGAGATGTATAATGACATTGTTGTGGGTCTGGGTCTGACTTTCCATATGTATTAAAATTCTCCCTGATAATTTTTTTTAACCCTGCTTAATTTCCTTCAGGCTCTGGAGTTTTTCGAATTTTTATGACTCTTTTAGTCTATGTCAACAAAAGCCCACTGGTAAATCAGATATATGAAATTGAGAATGTATTTTCCCATAGGAGCAATATTATACATGATTCAATTCCCAAGTCAGCCCACAAAAACCTATTTAACCCATAATGTAGCCAGCCTAAAGAGCAATCAGTACTACCTGAGTTGTGGATCCTGAGAATAATGGGTCTTATCAGAGAGGAGAATTCAAATTCCAGCTCTGCTGCTTAGTAGCTGTGTGACTTTGGCCATGTGACTTAACCTCTCTGGACCCTTGTCCTTATTTGTAATAAAGAAAAAAGAAAGAAAAGAAAAAAAATAGGATTGGACCAGATGACCTTTAAAGGCCCTTCCCCCTCTAAATTTGTGATCTTCTGATGCAGATGGTTTTGAAATAGTTGATTCTTCTTTGATTCCTACATTTTTGGGCTTTTCTCTTAATTCTGTCCTCCCACTTTTATGCTTCCCTAAGCTACCCACTTTAAACAGCTCTGCTTTGAGAAATGAAGGAGGTTACTGCAGAATCTCAGCATTAGAACAGAACTCAAGAGGCCATATAGTTCCAGCCATACCTGGACAGGAATCTCCCTTGCAACATACTTAACAAGTATTTGTTCTGCTATTACTTGAAGACCACTAGTGAACGGGAACTCACTGTCTCCCAAGGCCCCCTTTCACTTTCAGACAGCTGTGCTTGTTAGGAAGTTTTTCCCTGTTGCCAATCAAAGCTAAATTTCACTTTATTTTTCTGTACCTTCTGTTCTTTGTTCCTGGTTCTGCCCTCCAGTGCCTAGCCTTCTGAAGGAGAGTCCTTTAAATACATCTGACACACACACGCCAAGATTTCTCTCCTGACCAAACCCAGTTCCTTTAGCTAGTCCTCGGAAGGCATGAGCTCAGTCACCTGAGTTTGGATGCTTTCCAGATTGTTAATGTTTTTCCTAAAATGTGGTCCCCAAGACTGAGCAGGGTATTGGTTTGACTTGGGCTCAAGTTTGTAGACTTGGACACCGTGTCTCTCATATTGCAGACCAAGATGAAGCTAAAAAACCTGTCATTTGTATAGCACTTTAAAGGTTGCAAAACACTGTGTAGAGTACTCCTTTACAGACAGCCTCCCAATTATGTTGTTGTTGTTGTTGTTCAGTCTTGTCCAACTCCTTGTGACCCTATTTGGGGTTTTCTTGGCAGAGATACCAAAGTGGTTTGCCATGTCCTTCTCCAGCTCATTTGACAGATGAGGAAACTGAGGCAAACAAGGTTAAGAGACTTGCCTAGGGTCACACAGCTAGTAAGTTTCTGAGGCTAGATTTGAACTCAGGAAGTCTGGCACTCTGTGTATCCAAGTGCACCACCTAGTTGCCTGGTCCAAGTTCATATCACACTTGATTGGTTAAATGACCTGACCATTTAATTGGTTCTTAAGCCAGCTTCCATTCTGTATTCCAGCCTGCATCTTTTCTCTCTTGTCCGCAAAAATGGCATGAGAGATTTTGTCAAATGTTTTACATTGCTAAAATTAAGGGTTAACTCTAGTTAGAATAATGTCCTAATCTCCTGATCTTGGATGCTCAAAGGTTTGCCAATGGAGCATAAGCACTGGCAGGTTCTGTCATGCTAGAAGCTTTGAATAAGGTCTTGGAAAAAGATTGAATTTCTTAGAAGCACTAGCTTAGCTAATGACAGAGAGACACATCACCAGTAGGCTGGCCAGCTGATGATGCAACTCTTTTGGCAGCGGCAACCCAGGAAACAAAGAAAAAACTGTCAGATAGCCCTCAGTCCTGTGTTTTTGCAGAGTGTGGTGGGAAAGGGAGCAGAGGGTGTGAAGAGTCACATAGTTTTTAGACTGTTATTGAACTTTAATTTGACTGTTGGTAATCCAAATGTGAGATCCTTATCCAATGACTGATGAATGGATGTATTGCAGAAGAAGTTGAATCATATCAATCTGTACATTCTTGCTATAAATGTAACTAAAAGGAAGAAGGATATTGTGGTTAAATAGAAGAATGACTTACAGGTGTTCTTTGGAGAGGCAAAGAAAGGAGTTGGCAGTATGTTTTATTTTATGTCCAAAAGCTGTAAGACCTACTATTGCAGGGGACATTTGGTTATCACATATCACATTTCTAATAAGTATTTGACTCCCCTCCCCTCCCCTCCCCAAACATAATTGTACTGAGGTACCAACATTGGTTGCTTAGGACAAAGTGATTATAAAAATTGTATGAAAACTTGAAATTCTAATAAGAACTTCAAATCAAATTAACATATACTCTGATATTTGGTGATTTCATGCAAAGATAGAAAAAGGTGAGGATAGAGAGAAATATGGAAAGAAATGAGCTAAGCCAAAAGACATGTAGATTATACAGAAGCCTCACACCACCATGTTATGAAAAAGTAAATGAGAACCAAATTTCCTTTAAAAAAATTTGTAGACACCAATTAATATCACTAGGAATGAAACTGACCACATTTTAACAGACAGTAGAAGACTTACAATGGATGTGGAAGTTATTCCTGAGTCAGCATCTGTGCAGACTATCAACTCATCAGTGCTAAGAGCAGAATATGTAACAAAACAAGTATAGTAAAGAAGGATATGTGGTATATAAATAAGACTTAGCAAGCTGTTGAAAATTTTAAAATGGGAAATCAACCACAGAAATCAACACTGACTAGTAATTTAATCCAGAAGTTAAACCAGTGTAAATTAGCTGCTATAACATGGAAACCAAAAGAACCTAGAAGGCATGATAGTCAGCAAATGGGTGGATTATTTACCAAATGACTCTAGAGAGATGACTGCAAAAGGAACATAGAGTTAGGATGTAAACTCATCTATAAAATCTTACAAAGAAGGATAGTAGATGATTATGAGCAATATTGTCTCATAAAGCAGGGAGAAGCAGTGAAGGGTAAAACCAGTGTAAAGAAAACTTGGCAAGTTATCTGGCTAAGCAAAGTCATTCCAAGGGCATTCAAGGATAAAAATGGAAAGAGTAGAAGAAAAAATGGAAAATACAGAAACTACTCAACAAAATGTTTTCCCCATCAAGGATGGTGGAACACCCACTCTTACACCTGAAATACTCACAGAGGAAGTAAAAGTAGTTAAAAAAAAGTAAAGACAACGAAGATGGGGAAAACAGCTGCATTGGACTAAGTATATAGAGTGGACTAAGTATATAGAGTATATATAGTGCTGGAGGGCATTTGTAGCATTCACAAGGCATCTACAGGAAGATATCAAAGGCATGGAAAAAAATTTTGGATCTACTGATGTCACATAAAAAAAGGTGACCAAGAAAACATCAGCTACTGACATATACCTGTTCTCTCATCTATCCAAAATCTTTATGAGGGTTACATATACTAGACAGGTCTTTCAGGAGGCTATTAGAAGGGAACAAGTAGACTTTCATAAGCAAAATTTAACAGTGAACCACATCTTTTATTGTCTCTCAGTTGACTGAAAGATGTAGTGACTGTCTCGTTGTACTTATTGTTTGTTGATTATGCAAAAAATTTGACTCAGAATAAAAATATTGCTTTAAAGGCTCTTTTACAATGAGGATTCTCCCATCCATATGTCAAGATCATTAAGAATTCCTTGGAAGATATAACAACAAGAATAAAACCCCAACAACTGTTCAGTAACCCTCTGATGAATTGAGGAATAAAACAGGGAGATTGGATGTTCAACAAAAGTAGTCACCATCATGATGGAGGAAGTACTACATTGTCCAGTTCAAGGATGAATTCTTCATGGATGGTGAGATCCTTCAGATACTCCTTTTTGGAAATGACATTGTCTTAATTACATTGAGCTCCAGGATGTTGCAAACCCTACTGATTCTGATCCATAGTTGCTTAAAAGAGTTTGGTCTGGAGATCCACATAGGAAGAACCAAATGGATGAAGAATGTCTATTACCTAGATTTCAGCATTCATCTGAATGTTCACCAAGTAGATAGAGAGATAGAAATATAGATAGATACATAGATACAGATTTGTAGATATCTGTCTATATATACATTATATATATGTATGTATATGTATATATATGTATATATACATTATGTATATGTACATAAATATCTATATGTGTGTATGTAGAGAGAGACATTTATTTATATATCTGGGATTGACATTGCAAATGGATGATGAGCTGGACTCAAAATTGAAAAGGAAAAGGAAAATGGGTTAAATGACTTTCAGAAAAATGCAAAGCACTTTTTTTAACCGACCCCAAGCATCACATGACAGTAGTTGCCCATATTTTCAGTGCAAGCATTTTCTAGTGTTGTGTTATGTGGCAATGAGACCTGGAACGGAACACCATTGCCTCCAATAAACTAAAAATGAGTATTACACAGAAGGCCAAATGAAAAGACACATGGTATGTGTGAGTAGGCCACAACTTATAATCATTGAGAAACTCTGAAAATGAATAGGAATAAAATATGTCCTCAAGGAGCCATATGACAGGAAGAGAAGAAGGGTTAGTCATATAATGAGAGCAAGGGAGGGACAGATAGATGACTGGAGACTCCACTGATCTATCACAACATGGAAGACAACAGGGGCCTCCAGCATGAGCTTTTGGTAGAATCTGGATGAAAGTCTCATGGGAGACTGGTGGGATAGAGTATGATGGGAGTCACTGGAGGGAATGCTCAAATCAAAGTCACAGATCCAACTGAGTATGAACTAAAATTCAGGTAGATAACATCTATAGTGTTCTGATTTACTGGTCCAGTCACCTTGTCAGATAAAGAAATGAGACTAGTCTGGAGTGACCTGTTTTGGGTAAAGCCTTGCTAGTTCCTGGTTGATCCCTGCTTCCTTTTAATAGTACATTCTGGAATTTTATCAGGAATCAAAATCAAATTCACTGGCCTATAATTTGCAGGCATCATTTACTTTTTTGAAAATCAAGACATTTGCCCTTCTCTACATCTGTGGCACCTCTTTGGCTTTCCATTTTCCTTCACAGATCACTAACAATGGCTCAACAGTGATATCTTTCAATACCTTAGAATATAGTTTGTATAGCACAAAGATTCTTAACTTTTTGTGTGTGTCATGGACCCCTTTAACAGTGTGGTGAAGCCCATCTGCCCTTTCTTAGACTAATGTGGATAAATGCATAAAGTAAAATACATAGTATTACAGAGGAAACCAAGTATATTGAAATATAGCTGTCTGTATTGTGTATTGTGTGGGCATTTATGTGTGCATGCATGTGTGTATATGTATATATAAAAATATACATGTGTATGTATATGTATATGTTGTATATATATATACACACTATATATACAGTATATGTATGTGTATATATGTATGTATATGTGTGTATATACTCACACATACACATACTTCATGGCCTCAGATTAAGAACCCCTTGGTAACTAATGACTTGAATTCATTAAGGGAACCTAATTGTTCTCTTCTATTTTTCTACTTACCTTAAATTTTAGTTCTTTATTATTCATTTTTTCACTGTCCTTTCCGGTGTAAAAGAGAAGCCAGATAATAATTAGGCAGTACCAGCTTCTTTCCATCATCATTCATCATTGTCTCACCCACCCTGAGCAGTAGTCTTCACCCCTTTTTGGATCTTCCTTTTCCCCCCCAGTATAACTAAAAACCTTTTTTTTGTTACCCTTAGCTTTTCTTGCTGGCATCAACTTATTATGGGCTTTTACCATTCTTTTTTTTTTTTTTTTTTTTTAGTCAGGGCAGTTGGGGTTAGGTGACTTGCCCGGAGTCACACAGCTAGTGAGGCCAGATTTGAACTCAGGTCCTCCTGACTCCAGGGCCAGTGCACTATCCACTGTGCCACCTAGCTGCCCCAGCTTTTAGCATTCTTGACACTCTCCTCACAACAGTGCCTTTGTTATCTGCTCTTGCTTTCATCTTCTTTATGTGTCTTTTTAAAAATCTAAGTTGGTCAATGAGTTCTCAGTGTAGCCACATTGGTCTCTTTATACCAGTTTCCCATTTTCTTCCTCATAGAAATTGTCAGAATTTCTCATCTGTCCTGGGCTGACTACCCTTGTGGAATTTAAGCTCGTGGGATTTTACCTTTCCTTTTTATGAACCCCTTGAAGTCCACTTTCTAAAACTCTTGGGTACATGTTAAACTGTTCCCAGTTTTCTCCTCTGTCTCTATCACAAATTCTGAGGTGGAGTGGTCACTTGCCCCAAAGGTTCTTAAAGATCCCCAGCAGTCAGTTTCTCCTTGTTAATGAGAGTCAAATCTCAGAATAAAAATCACGTTCATTGCATTCCTTCATTTTAAGAATAAAATTATCATTAAGAAATTACTAGCTTCTCTACTTTTGGCAGAGAGAGCTCTAGTGCTCTCTAGATATTTGAAGTGCCCCTAGTATCACTACTACATCACACTTGCATTGACAGGCATGTCATCCCCCTCCCCCAATTCTCCATCTAATAATAATGCTAACTAACATTTATAACTAACTGCCTTCATAGAGATGTGTAGCACTTTAAGCATATGGGGTATGTCTCCATATACAAGATGTCCCAGAAATCTTAGTTCAGTGAAAGCTTAAAACTATACTAAGACTTTTGGGATTATTCTTATCTCATTTGAGCCTCCCAACAATGCTTTGAGGATGGTACTATAGGTATTGTTATTCCTGTTTTACAAACTGAAGAAACAAGCTCAGAGAGTCACCTTTCTGACCAGGAGAACTATGGTATACTTTGAAGACAATATTTCTTTTCTTTCTGTCTTTGTTGACTGTCATCCAAATGTTCTCTATTATGGACCTCTTAGAGGGGTATATCTTAGTGAATAATGCTGTCTTGTGACTCTCTCCTTTTTTATTTATCCTCTTTTTGAATAAGGCAAACCCTTCCAGAGCCATATTCTAGCCACGACTTCAGTGATGTCAAATTTGTCTCCTTGTGTTAGTTGTTCTGTATCATCTTGCGTATTACCCAGACTTTGTGCATTTGGGTATAGACAGCGGAGGCTGGAGAGTTTAGTGCTGCTCCCTTGCCTCTGTGAATAGCTGGGCAGGCGTCTCAACTGTTGTTTTTCCTGTAGTGTAGCTCCTTTCTGTAGCGTCTAGCTTGATTGATATCCTGTCTATATTTTGTTTGCACATAAATTGTTTGCATGCCATCTCCTCAGTAGGTTGTGAGCTCCTTGAGAGCAGGAACTGTCTTCTACCTTTCTTTGTATCCCCAGTACTTAGCATAGTGCCTGATGCATAGTACGTACTTAATGACTATTGCTAATTGACTGACTGACATAGGTAGTTTTCTCCTTTTTGCATTCTTTATAGTGTAATCTATGTGAAGCACTCTGCAAACTTTAAAGCCATATATTAATGTCCGTTATAATAATTAATATTATTTAAAGAGCTCTTGATTAGACTTATAAGACTCTAGGCAGGTAAATTCTTTCCTGCCCTTATTAGGTTCCCAACATCCCAGGCCAGGAACCTGTCATTTCAATAATTTAAGCTATGGTCCAACTCAATTCCACAAGAAGGCAAGCGAATGCTCCCAAATTCCTTTATACTCCCCATGTACAACTCTTATTATCTCACTGATGTCAGCTTGGAGGAAAGCCTTTTGGAGAGCTTATTTACAACAACTGTGAAATACTGCGAGTTCCGGAACTACCTTCCTTAAGGTATTTTCATTTTTAAAGGAAAATACTTGTTAATTTTTAAAAATCTTGGATTGATTAAATATCAGGCAGCATAACAAAGTAAAGGGAACATCTTCAGGTAATGTGAAGACATTTTGGAATCAAGGGTTTGTGCCCTAAGTGTTAGTCAAGTCAGCAAGTCCCCTTAGCTGTTCTGGCTTCTCAGACAAACTTTCATCCTCCTCTTCTTGGGATTCACCAGAGTCTCTTCAAAGCTTTAAGGCTCTTCTGTAGTGTTTTCTTTTTTTCAGAGTTGCTCTTCCGGTAGCAGCAGAGTGGGGAGGTGTCTCTGGCATTTAGGGGTTATAAATTAAGGAAGGAGCAGTTTGAGCACCTTTTTATAAATATGAGTAATTTTAAGTCAGTGAATTTTGTTATATTGCTTTTTATGTTTTCGATGTTTTATGTGAAGCTCATTTTTTCCAATATTGAAACGCAAGTCAGTTAAGAACTCCTCTTAAATCTATACATCAGTATAGCTTCTACTAGCTTTAAGAGAAGTGTTAGTTTAGTGCAGAATACCTATTACTCTCCACATCTATAAGAACAATCCACCTATCATTAATAAAAGGGAAGAAGAAGGAGAAGAGGGAGGAAGAGGAGGAAGAGGAAAAAGGGGAGAAAAGGGAGAAAGGGAGAAGAAATAGTTAAAAGTAGCGGGGGGGGCAGGAAGGGGAGTCAATATTTTTAGCTTGTGAGCAAACAATTGGAAAGGTTATTTAGCATGAACAAATTTTCACAGTGCCAGGCTTGGGATCTAGGAATTCCCTCCACCTTAGTTTTGGGCATAGGCCACACATTCATCCATTCTTTCATCTATGATTTTTTTTCTGTTTTTAAATAGAATATCTTATCATCATGGTCACTAGGCCCTTAGTAAAAAAGGGAGAGGGAAGAAGATATCTTATTTTCAGATTGTAGCTCACATAATTTTTCTTCTGTTCCAAAGTAAACAAAACACTTAGGTTAACATAAGATTTAGTCTTAGTTCAGAGAAGTTAAAGACATTTGGCTCAATTCAACACTTTGAGAAGTCTATATGGGTACATATTTCCAAATTTATTATAATCCCTTGGGGC